CCGCATTCTGGACATGAACAGGAACGCTCACCTGTGTGAATCTTCTGATGTTTAACAAGATTATCTTTCTTATTGAAAGATTTCCCGCACTCTGAACACGAATAAGGACGCTCCCCCGTGTGGATTCTCTCGTGTCTAACCAGGTCTCCTTTACAAATGAAAGATTTCTCACACTTTGAACATGGAAAGGGGCGCTCACCCGTGTGATTTCTCTGGTGTTTAACAAGATGATCTTTTTTATTGAAAGATTTCCCGCACTGCGAGCACAAATAAGGACGCTCACCAGTGTGAATTTTCTGGTGTGTCACAAGGCTTTCTTTAAGAGTGAAAAATTTCCCGCACTCTGAACATGAATAAGGACGCTCACCCGTGTGACTTATCTGGTGTCTAACAAGGTCCTTTTTCTGAGAGAAAGCTTTTTTGCACTCTGAACATGAATAAGGACGTTCACCCGTGTGAAATCTCTGGTGCCTAACAAGGTCTCCTTGGTGAGTGAAACATTTCCCACACTCTGAACATAAATAAGGACGTTCACCTGTGTGACTTCTCTGGTGTTTACTAAGGTCTCGTTTTTGAGTGAAAGATTTCCCGCACTCTGAACATGGATAAGGACGCTCACCCGTGTGAATTTTCTGATGTGTAACAAGGTTTCCTTTCAGAGTGAAAGATTTTCCGCACTCTGAACATGAATAAGGACGCTCGCCCGTGTGAATTCTCCGGTGTTCAGTAAGCGCTCCTTTCCGAGTGAAACATTTCCCGCACTCTAAACATGAGAATAGATTGTCCCCTCGGTGAGCTCCTTCATGGGGTGAGGAAGATTCCTTGGAATTAGATGGATCTGTTGATCTCTCTGCAGTGTGAGATCCTAAATGGACATTTGCACTCCTAGTATGTGATTGGTCAGAAGATTCCACCCGATCAGAGGGATCCATTGATGTCTCCGGACAGGAAGGTCTGTGATGGATATTGGGTGTATTTGGATTCACTCCTGGAGAATCCTGTGTGATGGCATTATCTTCTGACTTCCAATCAGCAGATAATAGAAGACATCTCTGCAAGGAATTCCTGACATCAGCGCCATCTAAAGGAGAGAAATGGAAGAAATGTCAGAATTCACAAATAACTGGAGATTTAGCTCCTTCCCCCGTCAGTGGAAGTGGAAATGTTGATCTCACAGCTGGGCTCCTGTTCTCCCTCCAAAATCGATCAGAAAAGTGTTCACATCGAGTCCATATATGATCTGCAGATTCTTTCATATTAAATAGCCATCACCAAGGCTTCATTAGATAAAATGAATTAATGGTTGTTTCTACATTGGATTGGCTGCATTTGTCTGGATTTTAAATTATAAATAATTTGCAGATCATATATGGAGTCCGACAAGAACACTTTTCTAACAATGTCAGCAATAAAAAAGCTAACCTTGGTCTAACAGCCAACATTTTCACAGAGTGCTTGGCATTGAACTGGGTACAATTGTAACATCGAAATATAAAAAACAACCAGTTAATGGATTTAAAACACCAAAAACAACCAAGTAATGGAGATGTCACATCGTTCTGTGGAAACATGACGTTATATTGAGGAATGGAGATGGACCTTTCATATGGTGTCCAGTGTCTCCTCCTCATTTGTTGAGAACACGATGTTATATTGAGGAATGGAGATGGCCCTTTCATATGGTGTCCAGTGTCTCCTCCTCATTTGTTGGGAACACAACGTTATATTGAGGAATGGAGATGGACCTTCCATATGGTGTCCAGTATCTCCTCCTCATTTGTTGGGAACACGACATTATATTGAGGAATGGAGATGGACCTTTCATATGGTGTCCAGTATCTCCTCATTTGTTGGGAACACGACGTTATATTGAGGAATGGAGATGGACCTTTCATATGGTGTCCAGTATCTCCTCCTAATTTGTTGGGAACAAGATGTTATATTGAGGAATGGAGATGGACCTTTCATATGGTGTCCAGTATCTCCTCCTCATTTGTAGGGAACGTGACGTTATATTGAGGAATGGAGATGGACCTTTCATATGGTGTCCAGTATCTCCTCATTTGTTGGGAACACGACGTTATATTGAGGAATGGAGATGGACCTTTCATATGGTGTCCAGTATCTCCTCCTAATTTGTTGGGAACAAGATGTTATATTGAGGAATGGAGATGGACCTTTCATATGGTGTCCAGTATCTCCTCCTCATTTGTTGGGAGCATGACGTTATATTGAGGAATGGAGATAGACCTTTCATATGGTGTCCTGTATCTCCTCCTCATTTGTTGGGAACATGACGTTATACTGAGGAATGGAGATGGACCTTTCATATGGTGTCCAGTATCTCCTCATTTGTTGAGAACATGACGTTATATTGAGGAATGGAGATGGACCTTCCATATGGTGTCCATTATCTCCTCCTCATTTGTTGTTGGGAACATGACTCATTTGTTTATACTGAGGAATGGAGATGGACCTTTCATGTGGTGTCCAGTATCTCCTCCTCATTTGTTGGGAACATGACTTTATATTGAGGAATGGAGATGGACCTTTCATATGGTGTCCAGTATCTCCTCCTAATTTGTTGGGAACATGACGTTATATTGAGGAATGGAGATGGACCTTTTCGCCTCCGCTTCATGTGTTATAAGGATTAGATGGTATGTAAGTATCTAAAACAGTCTTGATCTTTTATATCATTAATAAATAAAAACTAATTGCTTAAAAAAAAGGGTCAAATCTTTATTGTGTAGACAAGCAATTGAAGGATTGTTGGCTCAGGCTGGAGATCTCTGTAAGTAGATAAAGGGGACTAAATCTGATAATAAATCCCTTGTTGTATGTACAATCAGGGCCATGGTATACTGTATGTGGAACTGAATGATGTTAAGATCTTATAATTATCTAACATTTTGAATCACAAACCTTCTACTCAGAAGTAAAATAAGACTGTGACCCGTTCTTTCTTCCACAGTGCCTGTACTTACTTGTGTTGATAGGTAGAGAAATTTCTTCCTGTTCACTCTTCATCATCATCCCAACCTCCTCCGTGGACGGCCGATCCCCCCCCCACATACGTCTCCTCTTCTTCCTCTTTAACCTCAACTTTTATATTAATCTGTTCTTCACCCTAAACCCCAAAAAAATAGGAAATATCTATGAAAGGTGAACTCCAGGTAGATATAAAAGACACAAAGGAATACAGCTCAGGGTTCCTTACTACATCATAAAATGTGTTTTTTCATATACTGTATGTATGCAGTGTAAGTAGCTGAATGTGAAATGGTATCAACCTCTTGTAGCCACTGAAAAGCAGAGCTCAAACTGGGAGAGGGAGAATCAGAACAATGAGACAAGTACTTACAAGGGTGGTGCTAATAGCAGAAGAGAGCAGAGTGAAAGAGAGGTGAGCTCATCAGTCTGCTGCTTCTCTTTTCACTGTCCAGTCACAGGCTGAAAGACAGACAGGACGGGCAGGTGTTACTGATCTGTAGTAGAGATAAATCAGGTCAACTGTCCTATCTATTCCGAACAGGTCACCTGCCCATATCTGTTAAATGCAGGGGGCAACGTATCAGTCTGCTGCTTCTCCTTTCACTGTACAGTCGCAGTCTGGGTGAAGGACAGGATCGGTAGGTGTTCCTGACATGTAGCTGGTCTACTGTCTATTCTATGTGAATCCAAGAGGCTAAGGATCCACGCCCTGGGGACATGTTATTACTCCAGCTTGGAGTAACAGGAGCAAAGAACAGCGCCAAATCATTGAGCATGCAACCCCCATTTGGAGGAAAAGAAGAGGACCCATGATGTCATGTAACTGGACCCAAGACACACAGACGAAAGGAACAATTTAATTGGGGATGCTTCACGAAGCAACTGGATATGGATTTGAAGGGGGTAAAAGCTGCACATTAAGGTGTGGAAGTGAACATTAAAAAAAATCTCCCAAAGTTCAGAATCCATTCTCTGTTCTATGCACTGAGTCCACCTACCTGATGATGGTGAGGGATGGTGTGACCTTCCTGTGTGGAATACAGAGGACGGGGACATCTCTCTGGTGGGTTCCCATTACTGAATCCATCTACCTGATGATGATGAGGGATGGTGTGACGTTCCTGTGTGGAATCCCAGGAATACAAAGGACGGGGACATCTCTCTGGTGGGTTCCCATTACTGGATCCATCTACGTGATGATGGTAAGGGATGGTGTGACCTTCCTGTGTGGAATCCCAGGAATAGAGAGGACAGGTACATCTCTCTGGTGGGTTCCTATTACTGGATCCAGCTACCTGATGATGGTGAGGGATGGTGTGACCTTCCTGTGTGGAATCCCAGGAATACAGAGGACGGGGACATCTCTCTAGTGGGTTCCCATGACTGGATCCATCTACCTGATGATGGTGAGGGATGGTGGGATCTTCCTGTGTGGAATCCCAGGAATACAGAGGACAGGGACATCTCTCTGGTGGGTTCCCATTACTGGATCCATCTACCTGATGATGGTGAGGGATGGTGTGATCTTCCTGCGTGGAATCCCAAGAATATAGAGGATGGGGACATCTCTCTGGTGGGTTCCCATTACTGGATCCATCTGTAGGAAACACACACACTGACTGAATCCATTGTTTCTATGTGTTTATCAGATGATGGGGGATCTAGGTGGACCCTCCGTACTGCTCTCTCCTTTACAATAAAGTCTCCTCTTACCCGGTGATGTGAGGGGCGGCTGATTGTCCACCATGACGTCCTTGTAGAGGTCCTTGTGTCCTTCTAAATACTCCCACTCCTCCATGGAGAAATAGATAGTGACACCCTGACACCTTATAGGAACCTGATACACACAATGATACAGTCACCATCCAGACACATCCCTTGTCTGTTACTGGAGAATGTCCCAGAATTCCCGGCACCGCTCACCTCTCCTGTCAGCAGATCAATGATCTTCTGGGTGACTTCTAGAATCTTCTTGGCACTGGTTCCTTCTGTTGTCAGGCAGTGAGGTGGAGGCACTGTGATGGTTGATGTCCCCTGGAGACAACTACTGGGTCGTAAAGGCTCACCAGATATTTTCTTCACTACTTTATAATCCTGTGTATAGAGAGAAAGTAACAATTGTCACTATAGACTTCCCAGAATCCTCCTCACCTCTCCGGTCAGGTCTGTTTTATTAATAGAGATGAGAGTGATGTCATGTGACCTCCCAGAATCCTCCTCACCTCTCCGGTCAGGTCTGTTTTATTAATAGAGATGAGAGTGATGTCATGTGACCTTCCAGAATCCTCCTCACCTCTCCGGTCAGGTCTGTGTTTTATTAATAGAGATGAGAGTGATGTCATGTGACCTCCCAGAATCCTCCTCACCTCTCCGGTCAGGTCTGTGTTTTATTAGTTTTAGTAATAGAGATAAAAGTGACGTCATGTGACATCCCAGAATCCTCCTCACCTCTCCGGTCAGCAGGTAGATGATCTCCAGGGTGAGGTCTAATATCCTCTCGTTCATGTGACTCGGGTCCTCCTCCATCCTCATTGATGTGATCATATGATCCATACACGACTCTGGTCTCTGTAGACAGATAATATAGCGCCCTCGCTGGTCATTATAAGTAGGGATTAATTTCTAACCCTCCATCCAAATGTAACGGCGACACTTTAAACGCTTTTGCAGGTTACCAGTGTAGAGTTACACAGGAGGCCTGGTACTACAATGATTGCTCTTGCTCCGATGTTTGCGTCAATACTTCACAAGTGTTGTGCGATCACCGTTTACATATGTGCGCGTAAGAATGGGTGGAGAACGGGGGGGGGGAGGTTACATTTTTTAAAAAATTATTATTTCTTTTAAAGAACATTTCTTTTACACTGTCTCTTTGTTTCGTTTTTTAACCATTAGCCGCTCGGCCAATAGCTGTTTGGTGGCCGGCAAAATGCTGTAGATTTCCGGGTGGAAGCCATATGGCGTCCTCCCGGGCATGCGCAGTTTTCACGCTTGCAGAGCCGCACAGCGGCGCAATTTGTCATTGGCCGTGTACCTCAGACACGGCCGATGACAGATCTGAGTACCGACCCCTGTTGCCAGGACCATGTGACCTGCTGTGACCAATCATAGCTGGTCACATGACCGTTGTATACAATGGATGGCTTCATTCATGCCATCCATTGTATACTAGTGTACCTAGCTGTGAATGGTCACAGAGGTCACATGCACATGTCATGTGATTAGCTGTGGCCAAATCACAGCTAAGCACAAAAAAAAAAAAAAAAAACCCCTGAATGAATCGATGTCATTCAGGTAAGTGCTTGCTTATAGCAAAGTAATTCTTTGCTATAAGCAAATTGCATAAAAAAAAAATACTGATCACTTCCCCAAAGTAGTACAATGTTACTATGGTAACATTGTACTACTTTGGACATAGTGAAATATGAAAAAAAAAATCTAAAAAAAAAGAAAAAAAAAAAAAAAATGTAATAAAAAAAAAAAAAAATTAAAAAAAAAAAAATATATATATATTGTTTTTTTTTTCATACTGCCACCATTCAGTGTCCCTGATCACCGCCATGCCAGTTATATGATGACGCTGTACTGCACTGGTGACAGTATGTAAAAAAAAAAATAGTTAAAATGATTTTTTTAATTTAATAATTTTCTGAAAAATTCTGACAAAAAAAATACAACTTCAAAAAACTAGCCATGCCTCTTATGAAGTACGTCAGACTGTCTACTCTGCATAAAAGGAGTCATTTGGGGGATATCTGTACTATTCTGACATTTGGGGGATATCTGTATTGTTCTGACATTCTTGGACCTCAAGAAATTAGATTGGCCGTCAGTACTTATTTATTTCAGGTACTTATATAGCGCTGCCAATTCTACGCAGCGTTTTACACATATATATATATATTAAACATTCACATCGGTCCCTAACCCTCAAGGGGTGTACAATCTAAGGTCCCTAACTCACACTCATACATACACATATTAGGGCTAATTTAGACAGGATCCAATTAACCTACCAGCATGTCTTTGGAAAGTGGAAGGAAACCGAGCACCCAGAGGAAACCCACGCAAGCACAGGGAGAACATGCAAACTCCATGCCATGGTCGGGAATCGAACCCATGACCCATTTACTGCAAGGCAGACGTGCTAACCACTAAGCCACTGTGCAGCTTCAGGATTGATCAATATTCAGATCTATACCATAGTTTGTGAACTCGATAACTTTCCTACAAACTAAATAATACATCCTAATTTGGGTTATTTTCACCAAAGACATGTGAAGAACAATTGTTTATTTGCAAACTCTTATAACAGAAACAAAGAAAAACGTGTTTTTTTTTCAAAATTTTTGGTCTTTTTTTTGTAAATTTAGCAAAAAATAAAAACCCCGGCGGTGATTAAATACCACCAAAAGAAAGCTCTAGTTGTGTGAAGAAAATGATAAAATTTTAGTTTGGGTACAGTGTTGTATGACCGCGCAATTGTCATTCAAAGTGTGAGAGTGCTGAAACCTGAAAAATGGCCTGGGCAGGAAGGGGGTAAAAGTGCCTGGTATGGAAATGGTTAATTAACTTTATTGCTATCACAAGGGTTGAATCGCTTCCCTTGTGACAGCATGGGCTTTGACAGGTCCTCTTTATGGAGAGATCTGGGGTCTATTAGACCCCAAATCTCTCCTCTGGCCTCCAATGCAGGTGATCTGAGTAGCTGTTGAGCCACTAAAAAGCCGATTGCCAGCTGTAAAGTTTGATACCGAGAAGATGCCTGTACCTGCACCACCACCTCCCAGGACATCATACGACGTCTACCCGAGGGGAAGTGTTCATAATATAATATATAGATGTGTGTGTGATCATCTGCGGGAGATAAAAAGCCTCACAGAGACTATGGAGGAAGAGGACAGACATAACAGTGACTGGGGAGGAAGAGAATGGACATTGCGGTGACTGTGGAGGAAGAGGACGGACGTCGCGGTGACTGTGGAGGAAGAGGACGGACGTCGCGGTGACTGTGGAGGAAGAGGACGGGTCGTCGCGGTGACTGCGGAGGAAGAGGACGGGCGTCGCGGTGACTGCGGAGGAAGAGGACGGTCGTCGCGGTGACTGCGGAGGAAGAGGACGGGCGTCGCGGTGACTGTGGAGGAAGAGGACGGGCATGTCGCGGTGACTGTGGAGGAAGAGGACAGGAGTCGCGGTGACAGTGGAGGAAGAGGATGGACGTCGCGGTGACAGTGGAGGAAGAGGACGGACGTCGCGGTGACAGTGGAGGAAGAGGACGGACGTCGCGGTGACAGTGGAGGAAGAGGACGGACATGACAGTGACTATGGAGGAAGAGGATGGACATGACAGTGACTATGGAGGAGGAGGATGGAAATTACCAAGGAAGAGGACAGACATGACAGTGACTATGGTAAAAGAGGACGGACAGGATGATAGAGGAAGAGGATGGACATGACGGGGGGTTATTGGGTGTATTACCTCCAGCAATGTCTGCTCTCTACTCACAAACAAGACCTACCTGTGCTCACATCCCCATAGCTAGTACATGCATGTATTCATCAGGTGCTAAAGGGGTGTTCACACTGAGGGCCCTCTGCACATGGCTATATACCCCCTGAAGCCGACTCCGCAATACAGAGGAATATTTGGTTCGCACACATTGCAATACATGTCTGAGCCGGCCAACTGCATCAAAGTCATCCCTCTATGGCCGCTCCTACTCCACTCTACCTACGGAGATGCTACTGCGGACAAATTGCCAACATAGGAGGGAAAACAAAGTACAGGAGAGCTACTCACCTGTCTCCTGGAAATTCCTATTTATACCTGACACCACTTCCTATCTTTACCTGACATCACTTCCTGTCTCTCTGTAAATCACTTCCTGCCTCTTCCATACATCACTTCCTGCCTCTTCCATACATCACTTTCAGTCTGTGCATTGTGCCATGAGATTGCTTCCTTTTGGTAAATATAAGTAAAATCTGAAAAACTCACTTTTTTAACGTGACTTTAACACTAACGTTATCAAAACGTCCATTGTGCATGAGGGCGAACTAGCGGGTTCTAGAGGAGGATGCTCTAATGCTGAAAAATGCAGGAAAATGCCACAAACTGACACTGGGTTTGTAAAAAAAAATGCTGAAAAACGCAGCTAAACACTAATGCAAAAATGCTAAAAAAACACATTTTTTACATGACAGCTAACGTTACCAGCGTTATCGAAACGTCCCGCGTTCATGAGGACGAGTTAGCGGGTTTCTAGAGGAGTATTTTAGCTGTAAAAATGCACTAACGCGGTAAAATGCAGCAAACTGGCATTTTTGGACGTTTTATTGACCAAAAAAAAGCTAATAAAAACGCTGCTAAACGCTAATGCAAAAACGCTAAAATAAATCTGAAAAACTCCCGTGTTTAAACGCAACTTTACAGGTAAGTACTTTATA